ATATTTGATTATGTAATTAAAAATAATACAATCACATTTTATCTAGAGTAAATTACGTTCACATGGTTTGTTTAAAATTGCGATTTTTGTCTTTGTGGTTTTGTTCCCAAAGTTAACTGCTATATTTCAGTACGTTAGACGAGATGAAAACAACAAAGAATTTAAATATAGGTACAAAAACAACAATTATGATAAATTATAAGAACGGAAACAACAAAAAATTATAAACCATATACATAAAAATGGTAATTTCAAAAACACAAGAAAAAAAACAATAATTTTCAACAAACCACATGAAAGAAAAACGTGATCTACTCTTTTATCATCTTCATAATAAAATATAACATCATAAATATTATAGGGTTAGATTAGTAAATGCATCAAAATCGCTAAAAGATTCAGTATACTAAAAACATCTCCATTGAAGGGTTAAAAGGAGATTTGTGGACCGGTCCTTGCTAAATGAAACCAGGTTTATAAATCTTGGTTATAACAATTTTTTAATTCAAAGAAATATATAACAATGGTTATCAATGTGTTCTTCAGTTTTTTTTTTTTTTTTGCTAAATACATAACCGGTTATATATTTTTTGAAGTAAAAAAGTATAATTGGAAGCCCACCGACACCTAAAAATTTCCTTCTTTACCAAAGAAAATTCATTCGTGAACTCGGCATGTGATGTCAAGGCTCCTTTCTCGACTCCATCGCTAATTTCTGATCACTTCTTTATGTATTTATATACGACCCACCTCTCATTTATTGACCTCCTGGAAAACTGAGCTCTTTTAGTCTTTTGCGTATCGCAGGGTCGATGACCATTTGGAAACTGAGCTCTTCTGGTCTTTTTGTGTTTTTTAAAATTTTTTGAAGACCAAAAACTCGAACATGGATTCATTTGTGGAGGGACAGGAAACCAACCGACAAATCTGTATTAATTTTGTGAAAAATTACTATACATCTTTTTATGTTAAAAACTGTATGTATCACTTAAAATCTTTTCTGGGTTTGTCTCTTCTCCCACCGGTCTCACAACCATTAATCATCATGAACATGCCTGCCTGCCTGCAAACTTCTATTTCATGAATTGAGCATTTAAACTGGTTCAATCACTATTTCATAACATCAGTTTGCATTGATTTCATAATTTTGCAGGACTAGGGTTTGGTAACTAGTGTCGCGTTCTTGTGAGAATAGAAGTTATGGTGAGAAGGTAAGAATGAATCAATCCTTATTCAAGATCAACACTAATACAGTGTATCGAGATGCACCAGACTAATTCCCGTGATAAACACAATTCATGGGATGCGGGTGAGATTAAAAGTGATCAAGTGTCCACATCTCTTCTTACGTTTCTCGCCTTTTAACTCCTATTCTAACACGATTCTTATGGTAAAATACTTGTAAATTATATGATATAACGTAGTCATGAACAGATACTCTAACGAAACTTAGACTTGAAGGCGAACGGACATGCTCTAAACATTCATACTAACAACTCGCTGAAATCAAATCCCAAATCCGCGATATCTAACTCTTTTACGTACGATTAGATACTATAATTACAATTAAGGCAGCTTAATCATAGTGAATAAAGGATTTCTAGCATGTGTTTGCATTAACCAAAATATAATACCACAAATTTAAACCTACAACCAAGGAACTGTATCTGCCCTGCAAATTGGACACACATTCTTGCGTAGCAACCATTTACTGATGCATTCTGCATGATACCCATGTTTGCATTCCAATCTTCTCATCATCTCATGTGCTTCATATTCTTTCTGGCAGATAACACAAATATCTCCTCCTTCTTCTTCTTCTTCTTCTTCGTCTTCGTCTTCTTGTTTACCGTTTCTAACGATCTCAAACGGACGTTTCAGAGTCTTCCTCTCTATCAAGCCACTGGCGCAACACGACTCGTGGTGTATTATATATCTGGCAACCGCCATAGATATTGCTTCATAAGGTTCCTCATCACCATCCAAGACTCTAGCAGTGGCTACCGATCCGTGATCAGCAACATCCATTGTGAATTCCATCCGAAGAGTTGTATACGCAGGTCCATCGTTAAACAAGGATATTAAGTCATTGTAGTCTTGGATCATCGATGCTCGCTGGCGCAGATCAGTAGAAGAAGTGTAGATGATTAGTCTATCGACATACTGACCTGGTTCTGCGTTTACGAGGAAGAAATACCGCATATCTGGCACTATAATCCCGTATGAACACGACGATATGGATGTCGTAGCCATTGAACTATACATGTATCATCAACTTCTTGATGCACAGGAGACTTTGATTTGCTTTTATAGCAACAATCAGATCTATACGTATGTATATATATATATATATATATACACCCACACGTAAGAACTTGCTTCCTGATATGAATCTAATAGATAAGAAAGATTCATGTGATTTCGATCAGATCCTACTTCTTCAAAATCCCAACTCAAGTTATGGAAACTCTGAACGAATTTGATTTTGTTTCCATATTGATTGCAATGATCCTTTCAGTTTGGAATCCATCCAAAATAAAGTAGTAAAGTTTAATTATTTTGGTTATGTAATTTCAACATATATCTATACTATATTATAAACTTTTTATTCGCAAAGTGCAAGTAGATTGTGCATAAGTACGACTTATAAAAGTTTCATATCTGAATTCGTGTAACATACCGCGGATAAACATAATCAAATACAAGATAAACATCTCATTTTAAATATAAAAAAATTAAAATATAATTGGGATAATCATTAAGTTATAACATAATACTTAATAATTATCTTTATAAAATGTTATATTATTAAACCAAAAATAAATAATTTCGTTATTAAATTTAAAT